CTCTCTATTTGTTCTCAGTAAGCTGGATCGAAGCTGTTAAGGGTTTTATACACTATAGTAATAACTTGAATTCAACCCAGTAACAAATCAGCAGCTAGTGTAGATCTCTGAGCAGAAGTGTTATATGCTAACAGGGCATCACTTCTGTCAGCAACCATGCTGCAGCATTCTGCACTAACTGTACTGTAGTTTCTAGGGCAAGAACAAGGAAAGCCTCACACACAGCACATGGCAGTAATCCAATCCTGAAGTCAGTGGTATCAATCGTATCAACGATAATGATAGCAGGTGACCAGTTTGTGTCTGCATGGTTTGAAACCAAACTATGCATGCAAAGGCTGATCGGATCATCTGACCTTGTGAAGTGTTACGCACTGGGGCTTATCTGCAATTGCAGCACTGAAGTGACCTCTCTGGGGTGTAAGCCTGGGCAGTGCATATGGAGACAAGACATTCATCTCTGCCTCGATGATGTGGTCTAAAGGAAAGCAGAGCAATGTGTTTGGCACCAGCTTGGCTGCAGGAGTTGCCAGAAGGAGGCATACAAGACGCCATCCAACCACCATAGGGACTCCACCCTGGATTTGTGTAGGGTTTACTCCTCAGCCTTTTCTTTTCCCGCAAGGCAGTGGAGGGTTAGGATCAGAGTTTTCCTTCTCCTAAATGAGCTGCCTTCCCAGGTTGATGAGCCCCATCTGCCCCTCATTTCCCTCTATGGCATGTGCAGAAACCACATTCTTGACTATTGGACCCACTATTGGACTCGTCTGCTGACTCCACCAGAGTCTGTCTTCACATGCAGGGGAAGTCCCGAATTCACTGAGGTTTTGAAACCCATCAGCTAATCTCACCTGATTTAGCCAACCAGTCATAGCCATTTCCTGGGGTGTGACAATAAGTTGATCAGGTCTTGCAAAGCCATGTTTGTGACATTCTGTAATGTCTAACAATAAGCTGATCAACAGATGATGGTCTTGCAAAGCCCCATGCATAGTGTCCTGTCAGGGCCAGTGATCAACTGATTGTTGGGGCTTCCAAAGCCCTATGTGCAAAGCTTTGCAAGTGCCAATGAAATCTATGGGCTCCATACCTTGACATCAATTTCATCCAAAACATGCCTTCCCCTGGAGCCTTCTAGAAACAGAAGTCCAGGTAGCCATTAAAAATGGTAGGGAGATGAGGCCCCTCTGCCCCCATATAATTTGAGTAACGGATTACTATAGTTTCTGCTGCATTCCTCCTCTCTTGCAGCTTCCTATAACTGAAAAGCATTTCCAGCTGACACCTGACTCCTGTCCCATTTTGTGCCTCAACTTATTTTTCTCACCTTGAATTTTGCCCGTTGACCTTCCTTTCCTTTCTTTTTTTTTAAAATAATTTTTATTAACCGACCAATCAAATTAAATTAAATCACATCACATAAATTCTGAATTACAAAGCCGAATTTTAAATTTTTGTTGAGGAGACCCATATTTCAAGTTCCGAAGGGGGATTCCGATCATCATCTTGCTACTGCGTTAATATCCAAATCAGTCCAAATAAAGTTCATAAAGTTCATAATTCTGTCCAGTCTTATCTTGCTGTTTCCACATCTCATCTTGTTCGTATATTTTTTCTTTTTTTCTTTATGATCTCTTCTGATAATCTCCTTAAGCAGATAAACACCAATTATAATCCTGTGTGAATTTTTCCGTTCGTCCAATCCTCATATCAAGATGGTTTCCATATATCATCACTTTCATAAATAACATCGCTCTTTCCATCATTAATCTTGCAAAACTGTCGCTCTTAAGTCCCTCTGAGGAGTCACATCCACAATATAAAAGCAGCTCTATTTCTCCTCCCAGACTTAAGTCCTCCGACAGAACTTGCCAACATGGCGACGGTATTTTTAACTGCGTCATTCCAAAGCTCTTATACTTTGCACGATCTTCTTAAAACATGCTTTGGTTAGAAAATTTATCTCCACACAGTCATAAATCCACAGCTTAAGTCATTAAAACGACATTTCTGACTTGGGGGGGGAGGGATTCTTGGTTAATCACATAGAGGAGAAAAAAGGAAAGTTCCCCCCTCCCCCCTCCAGCCCTTTGCCGTACCGAGTCTTGGCATTTCTTCTCATGATTTATCTTGTTCCTCCGACCCGTCTTGTTTATCAGAGATCTCTTCAGTTAGCAGTCTTTACTCCCCCTCCTTCCTTGAAATATGTGCATTCGCTTCCTCCTAATTGTTTCTTTTGAAGTTCTTGCAGCTAGTGGCGTGAATCAGAGACAGCGTCCAGGAGCGCCGAGATCCACAGGAGGGCATTCTGCCTAGTGCCCCCATCCCCACAAATTCGGGGGTGGTATAGGGCACAGCAGGCAAGGGCAGCCCCCCCCCACAACCTTGGGGGGGGTAGGGAGGCTATTTACTCCCATCACAGCCTCCTAATTACCTCGTGTGGGTCGGAGAGATGTTATTGTCAGCCATCTTCCGATGCACCCCTAGTGGCCCCCTCGACCTTCCTTTCCTTTCAACTTTCCCGCCCCAATGGTCTTTATCTTTGTAAAGCTGAGGACAGGGCCTGCCTTCTTTAATTTTCTGTTTGGCACCTAGTGGGTGTATGCACTTTTAAATATCCGGGATAAATCCTAACCATGTGTGTGCTACAGACAGAAACCATCTAAACATTCATGTCTTCTCTAGCATCCCACCACAACTTACCCTGGGAGGATATCGAGTGGTTATTTTCAACATTAATTCTGTTCACTGCATTTAACTACATACGTTGTAGTTTAATGTGACAGAGTTCAAGTCCAGAATAACCAACCAATATCCTCACAAAGTTACCATTCCTAGGACTAAGGGGGGAAAGACATGGTAGAAAAAACTGTTCGATTTTTTTTGGGGGGGTGGTCATTTTCCACCAATGGAATCCAGGTTTGGCCTGTAAGAAAGCTTAAATATTACATCACTTTATTTACATACTGTTACCTTTTATTATTAAAGCAGCCTACTCTTCTCTCTCACTTTACTCCCAAATATATTTAGCAAATACCTTAAATTAGAAACTTTGAGTTAAACCACCAGGCTTTTCTTGGGGGAATCTCTTACCAATTCAACTATTCTGCCTAAGGCTTCTGAAGTCTAGGAGAGCTGCTGTAGGCCTGCCTTTTCTCCTATTTATGGTGCCATAAGTTTGTTGTCCTTGTGTTCAAACTAAAATATTAAATGTGGATGTTGGTGGCATTGTTGTTGTTGTTGTTTAGTCGTTTAGTCGTGTCCGACTCTTCGTGACCCCATAGACCAGAGCACGCCAGGCACTTCTGTCTTCCACTGCCTCCCGCAGTCTGCTCAAACTCATGCTGGTAGCCTCAAGAACACTGTCCAACCATCTCGTCCTCTGTCGTCCCCTTCTCCTTGTGCCCTCAATCTTTCCCAACATCAGGGTCTTTTCCAGGTGAGAAGTCTTCTCTTCTCATGAGGTGGCCAAAGTATTGGAGCCTCAGCTTCAGGATCTGTCCTTCCAGTGAGCACTCAGGGCTGATTTCCTTAAGAATGGATAGGTTTGATCTTCTTGCAGTCCATGGGACTCTCAAGAGTCTCCTCCAGCACCATAATTCAAAAGCATCAATTCTTCGGCGATCAGCCTTCTCTATAGTCCAGCTTTCACTTCCATACATCACTACTGGGAAAACCATAGCTTTTACTATACGGACCTTTGTTGGCAAGGTGATGTCTCTACTTTTCAAGATGCTGTCTAAGTTTGTCATTGCTTTTCTCCCAAGAAGCAGGCGTCTTTTAATTTCGTGACTGCTGTCACCATCTGCAGTGATCCTGGAGCCCAAGAAAGTAAAATCTCTCACTGCCTCCATTTCTTCCCCTTCTATTTGCCAGGAGGTGATGGGACCAGTTGCCATGATCTTTGTTTTTTTGATGTTGAGCTTCAGACCATATTTTGCACTCTCCTCTTTCACCCTCATTAAAAGGTTCTTTAATTCCTCCTCACTTTCTGCCATCAAGGTTGTGTCATCTGCATATCTGGTGGCATTAGCTGTGTATAAAGACATGAAGGATTCTTAGCTGCCTCACTTTGCAAGGGAGGCAGATGCTAGATAGCCTTTTTAGAACAAGTTTTACATTGGTAAGCAGACCTGGGCCGGGAATCAGATGCAAGCTGTGAAATCAAGCCTGTTCTTTGGAAATTGGAAGGTGTCTCCCTCCTCCTGTATCTTCTCCACTCTCCAGGTTAATCTAACCTAAGTAAAACAATCAAAATGTAGGTATGCAATTTTCTTTTTTAACACACACACACACACACACACACACACACACACCAGAATTGCACATTGGGGGTGGGAGGAATCAGGGTATAATATTCAGATAAAAACAGAGGGGTGGTCAGAGCAAGACTCATGGTAGGTTCTCATAGATATTCCTCACATATCATGTTGCTAAGCGACACTTAGCAATGTGAATCCTTCTCCTTCTGCCATTCAGGTGCATCTTCAATGCACTTTCCTTTTGTCTTCATGATGTGGCATTATCATTTGAAGCGTTACAGGTGTCAGACCTGGCTGGAGGCAAATCGTGGGAAATGTGCAGAATACGAATGACAGGCACTGGCCAGAAATACTTTTATGTCAAGATTCTATATATATGTTTTGGAGGGGTGGGTGGCGGGTGGAGAGGGAGGGAATCTGCAACCCCTTATTTCATGTGTGTTGCAGCATGGCCGATAAAGATGCCAAGTTCCTTTAATCTATGCTGTTCATAATAGCAACAATACTAGCTTCAGCCTTGGTAGTAGTATTAGGAGGAGCGGTAACATCTGTTTTAAAGCAGTAACTGAGATAACAAAGTGCCACTTGCATCTTGGAGAGGTTGCCATCCCAGCACCCTCACTGTGAGCTAAAGCTGCAAGATGTCTTGGGGCAATGACATGTCATAGAATAACAGAACTGTAGATTTGGTAGGGATCACAAGGGTCATCTAGCTCAACCCTCTGCAATGCAGTAATCTTTTGCCCAACCTGGGACTTGAACCCACGATGTTAAGATTAAGAGTCTCATGCTCTACCAACTGAGCTATGAGATACTTGCCTAAGATGTCTTAGGCTATGGACCACCAGTGCACCACAAGAGCCAACCAACCCCAACCCTCTGCTGTCTGGGGAAAACAAGGCTGGGCCAAGATGAGCAGCTGTTGAGGTGGACAAGATGGTACCCACACCTGCAGGGCAGCAAGGGGATGCTGGCCAAACTAGATGGTACACATGGTTCTGTCCTCCCATAGGTTGCCCTGGTTTCCCAGCATCTTCCCCCTGATGTGGCCACTTTGTTCTTCTTATGGCTTTGCAGAGAAAACACAAGTTGTCACTCTGGCCCATCTGGTGACTGACAGTGCAGTAATCCCAAACACTGTTGAAAGGGCAGGTTTTCAAGAATCGACGTTGCCCATTCCATATGGACACAGGATGTGAGAGAACACTTCATGTGCAAAGGTTAGCTTAGGGCTTTCTCCCCTCACATTTAATGCTGTGTCCGATGTTAGCCCTACTTAAAGCAGACCTATTGAAGTTAATAGACATGGTGGCAAACCTAAGTCTATTAATTTCATCGGGTCTGCTTATTATAGCTTAGTTGGATATGACCGCCTGATGTCAGAGTACATTGTGAGTAACTGGGAGTCTCAATCAGAGAATTAAAACACCTCAGTCCACATGCAGTTACTGATACTGCTTGTCATTCTCCAGTAGTGGTTTGAGTAAGAGAACCCAGGTTCAAATTCCAGCTCAGTCATGAAGCACACCAGGCACTATCTGCCAGCTTGACCTTCCTCACAGGGTTGTTGTGAGAATAAAACGTTAAGCGTGGCATACTTGCCACCTTGGAGGAAATGAGGTATATAAATGTAATAAGTAAATAAGTAATGAATAACTCAGTAGCTCCAGGTCCATTGAAGATCCCTATAATCAGGATTAGGCAAGTGGCCAGGATGTACTGAACCACCACCGAGATCATTATTTGACACATGAGAAGTTACTGGCTCATCTAACTTGAAGAGCAATGGGTCGTTGTGTATGGCTGTTGACCAGAAGGTTGGTGGTTTGAGCGGGACCCCTGCATTGCAGGGGGTGGGGCTAGATGACTCTTGGGATCCCTGCCAACTCTACAGTTCTGTGAATCTATGGTTGTCTACAATTGGCCGCAGCTCTCCAGGGTTTTATGCAGGAATCTTGATTCTCAGTGTTTGTGAAGCGTGCCTATAAAAGCTATTTTGAAATTCCCCTGGGCGACCAAGACAAGAAATGGGGTCTGCATATTGTTTGTCACAATTGTGAGGAAATGCTTAGAGACTGGACAAAAGGAAAATGGAAGAGTATGCCTTTTGGGGTTCCCATGGTTTGGCGAGAACCCAAGGATCACACAAGTGACTGCTATTTTTGTTTCCCAATGGTATCTACAAGCTGTTGTTATTCAGGTACTTGGTAAAGCCTTTCTGTTGTCCAAGCAAGAAGTTGACCATTTTGAGATCCACACAGATGATCCAGTTCTGGTCCTCACCATGTTCACTTCCTTCATCTTCAGAAGAGACAAACCCCTTAAAAACTGGAATTGGGAGTTCCTCAGAGTGCGGGATAGGCAACAGCATGTTGCTAATACTGGGATAGGCGACAGCATGTTGGTTTTTCTTGCTGATACCCTTCGTATTGACCAGACAAAAATAGCATAACAAAAAGCATCAGGCTTGTTACACGGTTTTGTCTACTTGAAGAAGCCATGGTCCGATCTGAAAAATACAAATATTTAGGTTACAAAACTATAAAAATAAAGAAAAATTAAGTTTGCAAAACAATAATTACCATATGGTTAGGTCTGTTCTGTTATTCTATGACATGGTAGATCAACATATCAGTGTCCACTTATCCCCAGTGTAAATATGACATATCGGCAAAAGTCGGAAATTGAAAGATAACTATAGCGTGTACACGAAAATCGATTTCAGATTTGAAATCATCATTGAAAGAACATATAAGAACAGTTGAAAAATCTCATGCAACAGAAAATGAAAAAAACTGTTCCCCAGTATACTGTGTATCCCAAGGGAATACATTTTTTTGCATACCTCCAACTGTACATAGATATTCATGCCATGTTCAATACTATATAAGTCACTTACATTTATGCTCATATTGTACTACTTTGGCTATGTGTTTAAAAAAATATTGAATTCTTGCATTGTGAAAAACAAAGATTATGGTGAAAAACATGAATTGCAAAAAAACTAGAGCTTACAGAACAAAACCAACTTCAGATATGAAATCAGCACGTCGAAATTAGGTTGGAACAACTGCAGGTGTCAATGCAACAAAATTTTTGTTCCCCAGTGTTATATATAAAAACCAACGCTCTGAATTGTGTTTGGAAGCTCACAACAGCAAGCAGAGACCTTGGGTTGTTACATGCTCTTGGTGAGCCATGGTATTTCTTTTATACTTTATTTTGAAAACATTAAAATTCTATACTGCTTTTTATTGGCGACAATAATAAAGCACATCACAAGGCTCAATGAAACCAAAATCGTCAGTAAAACAATGTACAATACCAAGGCATCTGGTACAAGAGGTCAGGGATGGAAAAGCAGATGGTCTTTAATTGTCAGTGAAATCACTCTGAAGTAGGTGCCTATCTAATTTCAGTAGGAAGAGCATTCCTCCGTAGTAAGCGCACAATGGAAGAGGATCCTCCTCTGGACTTGGGTATATGGAGATGTGGATCGCATTCCTATACTCTTTAGATGTTTAACAACAACAACAACAACAACAACAACAACAAGTAGCCATTAAAGCCCTAGCCCCTGTGTACCAAATTAAACATATTCAACAAGTTGATCGAAACAATGCTTTTCGGCTGTATTTCTCAGCCAAGGATCATGCCCTGAAAATGCAGCCATTGCCCTCAAAAGTTTTCTGCTATTAAAAACGACGTTGCAGCAAATTTTAAGCAACATCTAAAATAGCTAGCTGGGTAAAAAGATTTGCCGTCTGCCCTTTTATATGCCTGCAACAAGACCTATTGTTTTTTCCTCTGCTAAGCACAAAAGAACTAACGAAGGGACTGTTGAGGAGGTATGACTGGGATGATGTCAGAATATTTCCAGCAAAAGAATGTCAACTCCTCTCTGGCCAGGACCAGGAACTGCCACTTACGTGCTTTTTAACTCCTCCCCAACATTCTTCTTGTCCGGTTCCCACAGACGTGGAGTGGCACTGGAGGTCAGAGTGGACGAATACAAAAGGAGACCCCCTGCTGCCAGACCATCGTGCTGGGCTGTCACTTTGACTAATTCATGACTTCACCTTTAATCTCGCAGATCCATTATGGGTTAAAAAGAGACCCATTTTACAGCTGACAAGATTGAAGGGAGCACAGGCCAGGGTCCAAAAAAGGGGGGTGGGGGTGGGGGATAGAAACTCTTAAAGTGTGTATAATTGCAACCACCTGCTAAAAATAAACTCCTTCCCCCCCCACCTTCTTCTTCTTCTTCTTTTGCTTTTATTCCTTAGCCAATTGTCTATGCAATTTAGGAGACGGCAGCTAAATTCTACTAATTCCAAATCTAGTAGGTATTTTGATAAAGCATATTGTTAAAAGAATAAAAGGAAATTGTGTGTGTGTGTGTGTGTGTGTGTGTAGAAGAGCATATGGTTTCAGTATCAGAAATATATGGATAGATAGATAGAGAGAGAGTGGGGGAGTTTTAAATTGCTCATCATTGTGTCATTGGAGGTTTTGCAATTCCGAGCCAGATCACCATTGGGAGACAGGATTAATGTTAGCTAATAACTTTAAAATACTCATGTCAAGTGTTGGCTAATTAAGTCTACATGAATAAAAGCAGGGCAATAAACACACTTTTATACCAATTATTCTTTTTTAAAAAACCCCTCCCAATTACATTTATTTTATTTTATTTTATTGTCTGCTTGAAAAATACCGAATATGTTCTAAGAAATAATTAAGCATTCTTTGTGGCGGCTGATGGACAGTGTCTTCAAATATAATTCTATCTAACAATTCTTTTTGTTAATGGGGCAATCAATTCAAATATGTATTTACCAAAGATTTTTGTAAAAACTCCCTTAAGTGAGCCAAATGGTACTTTGTGGTGTTGAAAAGCAAGAGAAATGATATGTGCCAAAGGGGGGGGAAATGAATACATAGTACAAATAATTCAACACTGCAGGCATTTCATACACAGAGCTGCGAATCAGCAGGTGCTGAGAGATCAAGTGATATACATTCATGTGTGAACCAACTCTTTCTGTGCCAAGAAATATATATTTAGATGTAACAATTCCCTGCACTTGTGCAATTTTGCAAACCATGACATTAAACCAGCACTGAAGCAGCTACCTGAGCAAGTATTTAGGATCAGGGCTGTGCTTCTTACTGACTGTTCTATGATGGTCTGACTTTCTCATTTTAAATAACCAAGGATAATGAATATGGACATACTGTATTAAAAACATTTCCCCCCTTAAAGCTCTGAAATGAATGATAGTCATACAAGAGGTCTTTGCATGTGCTCTATGAATCAGGAACCTATGAATTTAATTGCATGTGTGTTAGGAAAATGTCATTACTGTTAAATCATATAATTTAGTTTTAGCCTCATTAATATTATATCCTGAAACATTTCCAAACCATTGTTTTGATAAGATGCCTCATAGATTATACTGGCTCAGTTAAAGCACTCGTGTTTGCTGAGATGGCTGAATTCCACTGCCCAGTCTAAGCTATAATTAATGTATGAAAACTTACCGGTAATTATAGGTTGGTTCCCTTCCTCACGTGCTTCTAGTTCACAGGATGTCCTGATGAGACAATGGATTCTGCACTGGATGGAGGTGTGTGATCAGTTTTAAATGGGATTGCATAAAGAAACAAGCTTGCAGTTTTGAGGTTCTTCTGGACTCAGTGTTATATATGGGAATGCACGTGGCATTGGTGGCTAGCAATGCCTTCTACTAGCTAGGTTGGTTTGGCAGATGCAACCCTATATAGAGAGATTAAACTTTGCTTTGGTT